GACTAACTCTTCTTTCTTGATCCACACAGTCTTCACCTTCAATTTTTGAAAAGATTTTTCAATTTTGACTTTCTTCTTGTGCAAATTCTTAACCTTAGAATTTTTTGGTGAAACATAATTCTGATTCTTCTTAGCATGCACCTTATTCTTAGCATGAAACCAATGAGAATGAATGTCAGAAAAATTTTATTTTTCTTGCGAAAACAATAATGTTGGCCATGTCCAATTCTACCACAAAAAGTGCAATGCAACACATTAGGCACATAGGACATATTAGAATGCAATGAATCAACCAAAATAGGATCAGGCATGTTCTGATTATCATGTTTCACAAAGATTGTTTTCCCTTGATTACTAGATGAGCCCTTAACAAATCCTAAGCCTGTTTTGTCATTCACATTCTTACCAATATTTTTCATTTTATTCAGTTTGACTTGTCCACAAGTGAAAGCAATCAATTTCTCTTGTGATTTTTTCAGTTCAATATCAAGAAATTCAATTCTAGAATCAAGAGAATCTTTCAAAGAGTTAGCTGTACTTACCTTGCCTTCAAGGGATTTTACTTTTTCATTGAGATCAGAGATGAGTGAGTTGCTTTCAAAAACCCTCAATTTTCCTTCATCAACTTTCTTTCTCAGTTCATCGTTCTCTTCTTTGGCTTGAATAGGTTCTTTTGCCAACTTTTTGATAGCCAATTTAACTTCCACAGTTTTTGCAAACATTTTTTTCAATTTCTCTTCATCAATCTCATCCTCTTGAACCTGTTCATCATAGACTTCATTATTTTCATCGTCTGAAATATCATAATCAAACAAAGTAACAACATGAGGACCTTTATGAAGAAAAGCAACAAAAGAAAAATCATTGCAATCATCATGAGAGGATTCATTATCACTAGGAGTAGAATTCTCAGAAATTGGAGCTTTCATTGCTTTTCCTTTATTCCTACCCTTTGAATCTTTATTAGGACTAGGACAAATATTTGAAGTGTGACTTTTGCCACCACAATTCCAGCAAGTAAGTTCAGTTTCTTTAGATTCTTCCCCTTTCTTTTCATTCATTTTAAAATCTGAACCCTTGTCAAAATTTCGAGGATTGGCCCCATTGCTGTTCCTTCTCCTTTATTTTTGCAAAAGCTGATTAAATTGTCTAGTCATGAGTGCCACATCTTTATCAAAATTATCATCAACAATGTTATAGCTTGAGTTGACTTTAAAGTCATATTTTTTTCTTTTTGACTTTGACTAAAATTCTGCATCTCAAAAATTTTCAAAGAACCCACAACCTCATCTACTTGAGCACTAGACAAATCCTAATGTTCAATGATGGTTTCTACCATAATCTGAAATCTCTTCAGTAAAGATCTCAAGATTTTCTCACAGATTTTCTTATCACTAACTTTTTTGCCTAAGTGACGAAGTTCAGAAATAATTTTGAGAAGACTAGAATAAAAATCAGAAAAAGTTTTATCTCCTTTCATCACAATGTTCCTAAACTTATGAGAAAGCATTTGAATTTTGGATAGCTTTACTTTCGATGTTCCTTCATGAGTGATTTGCAAAATATCCTAAGCAGCTTTAGCAGTTTTACAATCAGAAATCCTAGCATATTCAGATGGAACAACAAAATTAATAATTGCATACAAAGCTTTTCCATTAGCATCATTATACTCAGTCTAAAGTGCAGTGAAGGTGAAAGTATCCTTCAAAACCTGAACAAACTTACCATCAAGTGTCTTTTCCTCAGTCGAAGGTGTATAGCCTGTCTTAACAATAGCCCAGACTTTACCTCTTGAATTTTGTAAATAAGCTCTCATTTTTTATTTCCAAAAATTATAATTGTCTCCTTCAAATAAAGAACCACGTTGATTAGATCCATCCTCTTTCAACGCCTAAGACATGATGAAAGAAATTTTTAAAATAAACAAAAACTTGCCACTTGGATCAACTCAATGTGTAGAGATTGGCTCTGATACCAATTGTGAGTTGTGTAGCAGAATATATTATGGAAAGTTTGAGTTTTTATTGAGAGGATTTAATCACGTGTTTCTCTATTCAATTAACTCTACTAAAATTATCAGTTAATTAAACAATCGCATGCAAATTAAAAGCGAGTAAAGTTTAGAGTGACACTGGATTTTAGCGAGGAAATTAATTGGAAAACCTCGAGGTTTTGTGCGCTATCCCAAGCTTAAAAATATCCACTATGTATGAAGCAAAGTACACCGAACTTTGACTTACACTCAAATCCCTTTGCTCTACCAAGATTTAATCCGCTGAATGTCCTTGATTTTGCGACTTCCCGTCTTCCCGTCCAACAGCTCTCGACTTCAGACTTATGCCTCGAACCTTATAAAAGGATAGCTGGTAGATCAACGACACTCCGCAAGCACCTTGATCCCTTCAAAGTGTGATCTGAAATTCACACTTTGGTGTCTTTTGCTAGGAATGTTTGGGGTTTCGTGGGTTATGCCTCGATCTATGAGAGGATTGATGGAGGATTGGAGAGGGTGCTATGTGGGAGGCCATTCTCGTGGGTTTTGGAGGCGCCCTTGTGTTTATGGTTGTGTTTGTGGAGGGAGATGATTGATTTTATTTCCTCTTTGGGACCATAGGATCCCTTTGTTGTTTTTGGGACACGTTCCCCTTTTGAATGTATTTTGAATGAATTTGCTTAATTATCAAAAAAAAAAAAAAAGTGATATGAAATTCTTCTTATTGAATCTGAATTTGATGTAGAAGAAATAAGATATGATTTCTCTCATTGTTGTAGATGCAATCTTCAATAGACTCGTACATGATTAGGATTTGAGCAACACCATAAATTCGAACAACACCTTAAATTCACTGTGTGTGTGCTCTTAAAAATCTCACAAAAAGGCTTTTAATGGAAATCAAAATTTTAATGCAAAAGGCCACACAAACCTAGATGAGAAATTATATTTATATGGACTTTCAAAACCCTAGTAATATTTGGAAAATAAGTTAATTTTGTGTACAGGTTTTTGGAAAGAAGTCTATACAAAATAGGAAGTTAAAACAGAGTAGGAAACAAATTATCTGCAGAAACACTTGAACCGATTCAAGTTGGCCAGTATGATTTCTGTGTTTAAAAAAAAAAAAACGAAGCTTTACATCTTGAACCGGTTCAAGTTGGCCAGACCTGAACTGAAGGTTTAAACACTTAGAAAAATTTCGGCAATGTGCATTTTTGAAAAACATACGATGTATGCAAGTGTTCTAACCTTCTAACTCAACTTCCTAAGGTGTAATTCTTACCTTTTCATAGTCTTCAAGCTATCGAACACAAACAACTTTTCAATTCTGCTACCGATCTCGAACTTGAATTCAAACTTAGAATTATGACTCGATCGGATTTGTTTTGACACTAAAATTAGCCAGTTACAAAATATATATCTCGCGGGGCTCTCCTAGGGAAGTGGTTGTGGAGATTTAGAGGCGAGCAGGTGGTTGGTCCTCTCGTGCGGTTAGATCAACTGGAGGTGTTGGTGTTTGGAAGTTCATTCGAAAGGGTTGGGATGAATTTTCTCAACACAACAGATTCAGAGCTCGGGACGACAGGGACATTCGATTTTAGGAGGATTTATGGTGTGGGGATCATCCGTTTGCCTGTTCTTTTCATAGGCTTTTCAGGATTTCCCTTGATAGACATGCCTTGGTTGCCGACTGTTATCGGCTTGATTGCGGAAGGATTTCTTAGGATGTGCGGTTTCAGCGACACTTACAAGACTGGGAATTGGACGATTTTTCTAGCTTTCTAGATTTCTTGTATAGACAGGAGCTGGATAGAAGAAGCCCAGACTCCCTTATTTGGATGCCCTCGCCTCAGGGGAGATTTGAGGTCCGTTCCTTGTTCCTTTGCCTTTCCGACTTCTTAGGTGTTGATTATCCTTGGAAGACGGTTTGGCGCTCAAGGCTCCTCTCAAAGTGGCCTTCTTTGTTTGGACTAGGGTTTGGGGCAAGATTATGACGCTTGATAACCTGAGAAGGAGGAGGTTATTGTCAATTGGTGTTGCATATGCAAGAGGGATGGAGAGTCAGTGGATCATCTTCTTTTGCATTGCCCCGTGGCTCATGACTATTGGAGCCTTACTTTTGGTTTGTTTGGCGTCCAGTGGGTTATGCCTCAGTCTTCGAGGGGTTTGATTGATTCTTGGAGAGGATGTTTTGTGGGAGGCCACGCCCGTGATTTTTGGAGGGTGGCACTCTTTGGCATTTGGTGGTGCGTTTGGAAAGAGTAGAATAATAGATTTTTTGAGGGGAAGGAATCTTCAATTGGGGCTTTGAAATGTCTTATCAATAGTTCTCTTTTTTGTTGGGTGATGGGTGGAAATTGTAAATCTATAGAGGATTTTGTTGATTTTTTGGGTTCCTTCGGTCCGTAGGACCTTTTCGTTGGCTCTCGCCTTTGTGTAGATTCGGGATGTGTTCCCCTTTTGAACGCTTCTAATACATATTTACTTATCAAAAAAAAAAAAGCTTTCTTACCTCTCCTTTTCTGATATACTCTTGTGTATGTGTGTGTGTGTGTGCGTGTATGTTGAAGGCTTTATATATTTAAGTTACACCCTCTCCAACAGCTTAAGCTTTTGGAGTAGATTGTTGTTAATATGGTATCAGAGCCAAAGGTCTCGTGTTCAAACCTCACTGACACCTAGATAATTAAAATTGAAAACACGTGTTGAACCAAAAAGAAGGCCACACGTGAGGGAGCGTGTTGAAGGATTTATATATTTAAGTTACACCCTCTCCAACAACTTAAGCTTTTGGAGTAGATGGTCGTTAATAATATATATATATATATATCCTTTTCAAGTTAAGGAAAGTTTTATTTACAAATTCAAACTTTGAGCATAACCAAGTACTGTGCATGCTGGGGCATGGCAATTATTTGTAATTATATGTTCTTTCCATTTAACCTCTCACTTGTCCTGGTCAGAATATTTTTATTAATTATAGCATGTTAATTTAAAAATTCAGCAGCTTTATCTCAAGGAAGCAATCAAACTTCCAGTCAGTTGTTTCAGCAATGGCAAACTTCCAGCCAAGATGAAAATGCTAATTGTCAAGGTCAACAATATCTGAAGGGTTCACAGCAACAGGAGCAACGATCATCTGAAATGTTGCCGAAGCAACATGCATCTGGTTATGAGAACCAGCAACCACAAATTGACACATCGCAAGAACGGAATTGCTTCCCACTGCAAGAGAAACAATCACAAAAAGATTGTCAACAATGGCAAGCTGAAGCAGAACAAAATACCCTACAATCACATTCTTCTCAAACAATGGACATGCAGAATTCTGAGAAGAATCCCATCCATGTTAGGGAGCCAGACAGAACACAATATCCAAACAGCGAATCTCAATACTCAAAGTTACAGAAGATGAGTAATCAACATCCAATGGCACCCGAGCAGGCAATTAATCCGATGAATCATGGCAAACAAGTGCCATTTGCACTTTTGCTCCCGGTCATACAACCCCAACTTGATAAGGACCGAGCCATGCAACTTCAGACTCTTTATATTAAACTGAAGGCAGGTCTTACACATTGATTCTTTACCAACTACTATTCCTTTCTTGCATGGGATGAAATATTATCTCATCCGAATGGTGAATTTTTTGCTATATTCAGAAAAATGAGATCTCTAAAGATGTATTTGTGCGCCACATGAGAAGTCTTGTTGGAGACCAGATGCTCAAGATGGCGGTATTCAAATTGCAAACACAGGTAAACCACAATATGTTTGATGTAATCAAAATATGCTTAAAACCTTCTAAGTTGATTGCCAGTTAATGCTAAACTAAGCTTGGAAACAGGCTGCCCGAAACTCTCAGGCCGGGCCCAACCAATTTCCTTCACAGTCTCAGGCTTCAGTGCAACAACACCATATGAAAATGCAAACTATTAATGGAAAACAGTTCACAAAACCTCAATCACTTGCACAACTTCATCAGAAGGGTTTTCCTGAAGATCCATCCCATATTCCCTCTACAGCAGCGCAACTGAAATCTGTTTCAAACAATGCATCAATGGGTAATGCTCAAAAATCCCAAGAGGTGGAACACCAATCAGTGTCACATGGAATGCAAGTAAGTCAAACGTCTTCTTCCAGGTTGAGTACCCTAAATCAAGAAAAGGAGCGCTGCACGATCCCAATCCAAGGTCTTAGCAAGCAGCAGCAACAGCAACAGCAACTGCACTTCCCACAGTCCTCTTTTCCCACGTATGGAAATTCTGGTGGTAATTATCCGCCATTTTCCGGAACAAATGTAAATACATCTTCAACATCTCTTAATCAGCAACCTCATGATTTACAAATGAGGCAAGATCCAGTCAATCAAAGCATGGGTGCTTCTCAGTCCATGAATGTGACTAGCTTGCCTAAATTTGAGAGACAGGATTCTTTCAGTGAACAGACGAGAGTGCAGGGTGGAACTCTTTCGCACTTGACAAATAATTCAGCGTTGCAACAGAATTCAGCTCATTGGCAATCATCACCCAGTAAAGTGCAGAAAACTGGTGCTCCATCATCAATGACTTATGTAAAACAGGAACCACTTGACCAGTTGAATGAGCAACAAAACAAATCCCAGTTGTCTACCCCACACCCACAGGGGTTGTCCGCTTTCTCTTCTGCACACACTGAACAAGGAAATGCCATTCCAGGAACTTCAATGGGTGAAACTTTTGAGATGCAGTCCAATAGGATGGGGTTCTCAACATCTACAAGTACAGCACCCTCGAATTCAGTGTCATCTTCCATGACACCCCAGCTGGATCCTAATTTCTTGGTAATCTTTTCTTTATCATTTATGCTTGTCTACTTGTTTATTTCATTGTGTAAGGTGGTCATGTGAAGATTGAAGATTTAAAATGGGATGCATGGATTGTGGGTGTTTATCCTTGGTTTTTTGGTTATAGACTAAGTGGTATAGACAAGGACATGGGACATGGATAATCAAATGTAAAAAAACATAGTATATGGACACGGACATGACAATATATAAAGACAATTTTATATCAATTATATAAGACAACTGTAGAACTTTGAATAAATACTTTTGTTGTAAGAATTGCATAATTTGGAAGATGAAGCTTTGCTAATATCATAAATATTTTAATTTTATAATTATTTCTATTAATAATCTCCTATATATATATATATATATATATTATGGTTATATTCTTGTTCTTTAATATTTATCAGTTACATTCTTGACTTGTGATGAGTGTATATATAATTTTATTTTTCTTAAATAAAAGACTGGTCACTTTGGAGTGTGTTCATCTTATTTCCAAGATTGTTGGAGTGTTGGACATGACTGCTACATAAGGTTTGTGATGAGGAGTGTATTCTATGTATCGGCCAAGTACCTAAATAATAAAATTTATTTTGAATTATGGACACATCCATAAGGTGTTAGACATGTGTTTAGGAGTGCCTGTGAAGCTTTGGTGTTTGACTCGGCTTTTAGAAGTTTCCATACTCCTTAGGTTGTGTTTGTTGTGCAGAAACACTTATGGTTTTGATGACGATGGAAGCTCCACAAGATAATGATCTACACACTGAATAATAACTCGCCATCTAATGCAAGATGTAGATGAAAAATTAAATATTGCTCTCAATAATGTGTGTAGAGATTTCTCTATATATGTGTATGTGATATGAGGCCTAGAGGTCTTTATATAGTGCTTTGAGTCCAAAGTAAATAGGGGTTCTTAGTTGTAATCAGAATAGGAAACCTAAACCTTCTAGGTTTCCTATCATTCGCTCCATTTTCAGTTGGGCGAAGGAGAGACACTGTTATTCTTTTGACGATGTTGTTGATCTCTTGGACTCATTGGGTCCATAGGTTCATGTTTTGTTTTTGTACACGGTACGCGTTCCCCTTTTGAACGCTTTTTTATTGATTTTTTACTTATCAAAAAAAAAAGAGAAGTTTCCAAAAACTGTTCCCGCATTGTTCAATGGAGTTACACTAGCACTGCTTCAATCGATTGAGCATTCGATAAAGCTGTTCTAGACTTCAACAATCATTTTCTTTGACGAATCAAAACTATTATGCATTGTGCCCTAAAATGAGAATGAATGATTATGAACCCTAATTGGTGAGTTAGTTATTTTAGAGGTGATTTTACCTTTTTGACCTTTGATGTATCTTCAAATTTTGATTTCAGCCTTGGACATAGGCACCAGCAACTAACCTAACTTCTGAAAATCTAATCAAAAGTTAAATTTTGGCTTTTGTTACTAAATTTACTAACTTACATCAAGTTCTAATCCTAACATAAAGAATAAAGAACAGCTAGAAATCACTTTATCTAAAGCTTAGGCTATGCAATGTAGCGGCAAATAGTCTTCAAAGTTTTAAGTACTAAATTGGGTGAGAGACTAGTTCTTGCCGAGTGAATTGCTCTCTTTGGTGTGCAAAACAATTTAGTACTGAATTTTTTTAAACCAAGTGTTGCCAAGTCCATTGTTCTCTTTGGCGTTAATATAACAACTTAAGTCTGAAATTGTTAAAAAAAAATAAAAAAAATCTTATTGTGTAGGCTGCTTTCTTTGGTACGTAATAACAAAGTCTGTAAAATTAAGGAATGTGATGTGGTTCACAAAACATGGTATCAGGACTCTTGAGCATGCTTTAGATTAGAAAAGAGAGCTTGATAGGTAATCGAATTCAGTGAATAATAATCTGCTGAATGACGAAATTCTGAAAAAAGAACAGAAATTTATTAGTACAATTCTTTCTTATAAGCTCTACGGGTCCCTAAAAAGTTGGAAAGAAAATTTGGTTGATGCTGTAAAGCTTGCGAAATAGAATTTCAAGCCAAGTTCCAACTGATCTTTTCTTATACCATGATAGATATAGAAAAAATACAGAAGATAGAACCATAGAGAGAGAGGAGGTGATCAATATAATGGAGACACATTTAAATTTCTAGAGATGGAGAAAGCTTGGAGAAACTTATATCTTACATATATCTTACCTCTTTGGTAAGTAAAATATTCAATGAAAAGGTGTCAGAAGGGGTGCAAATCATGTATAATATACGTATACTGAGAGTGTGAGGATCCTCTAAGTTAAATAGCCTCTAAGTTTGAAGGGAATAATGATACTTGAGAGTAATGCAGCAGATGCTTTGAGACCTAGAGCAGTAGAATAGGTCTATTTACAGTTTTACACTTTTGTTTGATTTTAGCTTTAACTATTACCGAGTTGATAATTAATTCAATCAATCAATCAATCACACTTGCAATAAATAAAGTAAGAGAGAAAGAGTAACCAATTTTTTTACGCGGAAATCCTTAGCGAGGTAAAATCATGGAGATTATGTCGTTTCAGGATAATTGATCTACTATATCGAGAAAGAGTGCAGCAAGCTTCAGTGCTGAAATTGTTCTTTCACGAGTTGTTCATTCAAGTGCCTTTTGAATCACATGCTGTTGAGTTGCCCCTGACGTGCAATGTCCTCCAATTTTAGTGCCTTTGAAATCAAATAGCAATACTGATTTATGCTAACACAATTACCTCATTATGTTCCACTTCTCCTAATATCAGACACCTTTGCTCTTCCACAAGTGCATGCGAAGAGTTGCTTGATACACGGTATTGATCCACACCAACACAATGATCCGCTTGTCCTAGTGATGAAACGCCTATGCTTTTTCACAAGTGTGTGTGAATAATTGCTTGATTCACGGTTGATATATTGAAATGGATGAAGCTTTAATCTCTCAGATCAATCATAAAGTTACGTGAATGGTCTCAAATCCCAACTATGTGGTGAAGAAAGTATAAAATATCAAACAAAAAAACTAGGGATATTTCATTTTCTCTTCACTACTCCTTTATGTGTTCTCTCTCTTCCATCTAAACCATAAACTCCTTTATAGGCTTTAGAAACCTCTATTCATGGCCTAGAATGGTTAGAAATCAATCGGGCATGTTTTGGTTGAATTCACATCCACTTCAAATTGAATTAGTAAAAAATGCGTTAAAAGTGGCTCTAGACAAGTTGGACTAGTGCACGTCCATTATGAAGTTAGACCAGTCCCAGTAATAGTTCCACCTGTCACCGGTTCGCCTTTGTTCTGAAAAAATTTCAGATTGCGCAAAAGACCTGACTTTTCGAGTTTCATTGAGTTGTCAAACAAGCTCAAGATTGGGCGTATAATATATGGTGAAAGCTTATTGAGTCAACTTTTTTACCATATAAAGATCATAACAAAAATTCAATTATGGAATTAAGGTATTATGACTTAAAGGACAGATTTTGATTCAATACAGGACCCTATATGAGTATTGATTTAAGACTATCTCCAATCATGTTCAAGGTCTCCAAAACATATTTTCACTTTGAAAAACATTTTAAACACCTTTTGAAAGTTTCCAAATGCACGAAGGTCAATTAAACCAAGTTCAAAACCTGGGTTAAAGGTGATCCAAGCTATCCGAGTCTTTACCAACCTACTCCTAAGTTCTCTTGAGGTCTCACTTACCTTTTCCCAAGTGTGATTGAACCTCGTGGAGCACATATTTTAAATATTTCAATGCAACGTCCATCTCCATTCATCAATCCTCAGTTTGAACTAGTGCTCCATTGGTAAGGTTACTGGCAAGGATTCATGACCATAAAGACGTGCGTTACATTTGCTCAAAAACACTAGTATAATACTTCTTTGGAATAGGATTTGCCAACATACAAATATTATTCTAGCAAAGTTATCTAGGCTGAATTGTTTCAATGCTGAAGCATATCCCTTCTCTTAGATTAATGGTATGCAGTGTAACTGTTCCAAGTTATTTACCGAAGAAAAAATTTAGACGACTAGGTTTCAGGAGCCAATTCTACATCAATGTTATAAACAACTGCTCTTTTCTGAAATACACTATCTCTGATTCTCTTTACCATTACTTCAGTGGTGTAATTATCACCTCCTGCCGCCTATGCAAGAAAGAGGGGGAGCCAGTTGATCACCTCCTTATGCATTGTCCTGTGACGCATGCCTGTTTGAATCTTATTCTTGGGTTGTTCGGCATGCGTTGGGTAATGCCACGATCTACTAAGGATTTGATTCATGTATGGAGAGGATGTCGTGTGAGAAGGGATATACGCGATTTCTAGAGAATTGCCCCACATTGCATATGGTGGTGCATCTGGAAGGAGAGAAATAGTAGAATGTTTGAAGGGAAGGAGTCGTCAACGGCAATGCTGAAACTTTATATTCTTCGTTCTCTCTTCAATTACGTGAAGAGGAGTTCTTGCTCTTCTTCTGATGATTTAATTATTTTCTTGGATTCTTTGGGGCCTTAGCCCCGGTTCCACTATTGTATAAGAGATGCGTTCCCCTTTTGAACGCCTTTTTATTTCATTATTACTTATCAAAAAAAAAAAAAAAAATTATCACCTCCTGCCATTACTGTCTGGTCAATCTCAACCCCATAAATCCCATCCTATACAGATTCATCACATATTGTAATCATAATCAAAAGTCAAAAGCCACTAAGAGAAATAAATCATAATCAAGGGTCATCATCATTTTTACTCTTGAATTTTACACCAGGATTCCCTGTGATCCTACCGCCATCACCATGCCTCCGAAACACAACCATCAACAGATATGAAATCCATAGTTCACCTCCAATAAATGTTTTCTCCTCCATTAGTTTTGTTTTCTCTATTGAACATTCCCCTCAAACTTTCATCTCTTTGAATTTTCACTTAATCCCCATCAGAATCACTATGGTGGTCATTGGCGACAATTGTCTACTCCATTATTACCTTTGAGATCTTAATCCGCCATTGGTGTTGACTGGAACCGGCTTCAAGAACCAGTTAACAACTATAGAAATTGGGTGTTTAGGTTGATGTTGTTGATGGCTTCAAATGATTAAGGAATGTGATGGTGGGCAGCAGCTATGGCTGGTAAAGAGATGGTGGTTGGCGAGTGATTTGGTGGTGGATATGATTGAGGGGTTTGATGTTAGGTAAGAAGGTGAAGGACATGGCATTTTGAATGACTTATCCAGTGTGGAATTTTTCCCACTTTAGCTCAATGTTAAGGACAGTGGTGGCCATGTTTACATACTCTTCCCTTTTCTTTGTCATTGGCCCTTTTTTTTCTCTTTTTCTTCATTGCTGAGTGAATGATTCTTTCTAAAGGTGTTAATGTTAAATCAGTGATGGACATGGCCTTTGCGAGTCATAGAGAGACTATGAACCATTAATACAAATAAAATTGTGGTGTCATTGTCATGTAAATTCAATTGAGATTTTAACTGAGGATTCGGATCCACACTGAGCAAACTACACAAAACAACCCGAGGATAGGTAAAAGGATCATACATCTTTATCACACAATGCACACAAAATTCTAGGGAGTATCATTATCTCGTACATCATGTTACCAACTCTTTTCTAGACATCCTTATTGATTTGAAGCTTTGGACATCTTTGGGGCATCTTTTGGACTTTGTTGATAGCTTGAAGCTTTAGTTGTCGCCTTTGGCATCTTGTGTATCCTTTTGGGAGCACTCCCCTCTTAAGCCAAAAAAAAATTATATTTGAAAAGCTACAATGTGAATCAATTCAATATAGAAACCAGAAACAAATGAAGATGCAATCACACAAGAACACATGATTTTTAACAGGGAAAAATAATGGGACCTAGTCCAAAAAAAAATTTTGAATCCACTATGAGAAAGAAGATTGCAAGTAGGTTACAGTTCCCCAAACCAATGAACACCTAGTTACCTCCTAGACACATCGATGCACCAAACTTTCCCGAGTGTCCAGACACATGATCCGCTCGTCAACAAACTTTTCTCCTCATAAATTTGCTTCTCCACCAACAATTCAGTCTAAGCCACTATTCATCCAGGTTATGTGCTTGTTGTGGGAAAACACTTAGGTGTCAACAATGTAAGTTCCACAAGATGATGATCCACTATGAATTATAACTCAAACATCTATTGCAGCACGGAGGATGATGAAAATAAAATATGCTCTCAAAAAATATATGATCTCTTAATAATGTGTAGATATCTCTTTGTATATTTCTGCATATATACATGTGAGAGCCTAGAGGTATTTATATAGTCCTTTGAGTTCGAAGGAATTAGCATTTGTTAGGGTTTCTTAGTTATAACCGGAAAAGGAAACCTAAACCTTTCTAGGAATCTGATTTAGCAAAGTTGCCCTAAACTGTTTGCCATGCAGTTTGATAAATTGATGGCTACTGGCTAGAAGCTATTCTGGACTTCAATATAATTTTTCTGGAAATTGTTGATTGATTGGCGCATTGATCAAGGCTTTCTGGTTTTTTTTTTTTTTTTTTTTTTTTAAATAATAATAATAAATAAATCTGTTTAAATATGTTTATTCCAAAAACAATTTCGTGTATTCAAAAAATCGTTTTCATGAATCAAAACATGTATTACTTATCCAAAAAAAAAAAAAAAAAAAAAAAATCAAAATGTGAATACATAAAAAAATAAAAAATAAAAATCTGATTAAATATGTTTATTCCAAAAACAATTTCGTGTATTCAAAACATCGTTTTCATGAATCAAAACATGTATTACTTATCCAAAAAAAAAAAAAAGAATCAAAATGCGTATGCATTGTCCCCTAAAATGAGAATGCATGATTATGAACCCTAATTATGAACCCTCATTGTCCCCTAAAATGAGAGTTCAAGAGGAGATTTTACTTTTTTGCCATTTGATGTATCTTCAATTTTTAATTCTGCTTTGGACATAGTTACCGCCATTAACTAACTAATTAAACTAGCTTCAAAAAATCTAATCAAAAGCTAAAAATAAAAATACTGACTCCAACTTTTGTTACGAAATTCGCCAACACTAAGGTATAGTTTGATAACTCAATTCATCGCTTAATTCTAAATGGATTAAGTGCTTATCCAATTAAAGAGCGTTTGAGAACGCATTTTGAATATCACTTAAAAAATAAGTCACTTAAAATGAAGTAAAATTTAAGTGATAGTGACTTCATTTATCACTAAAAGCTGACCACTTAAAATCCAAAAACTATATGTGTGTGTGTGTGTGTGTGTATATATATATATATCAAAAAAATTGTAAATTACAACTAGTGCTGCACTTAAAATTTAGCACTTAAAACTTTTCAGTACATTTTCAGTTGTATTAAACAACACGCAAGTTCTGATCCTAAGAAGTGATTTTGAGGACATATTTTATCATACTAATGATGTTATGTATGAGGTTATATTTAAAACAGTTTTGCTTCTATGGAAATTCAAATAATAGAAGGTTTCCTTGTGGGCATTGGCCATTGGGTGTGCGCGCATGACGTTGGTTTGGTTTTACACCTCTTGCTATTGGATGCTTCTAGTCGTACTGGTGATTGGTCACCAGAACGTTCAGAGCCTCATGGTATTGTTGGTTTACATAGAGATGCAATCGTGTATGTTTTCTCAAAATTAGCAGGCTTATTTAGACTTCGGAGAAGGGCATTGTAGGTCTGGAAGAGGTTTATGATGATGGTGCAATAGAGCCACCCAAAGACCCTAGAGATGTTTCTATTACTTGATGGAAGCATAAACCTTTGAGAATTTTCAGGTATACTAGTTGTTGGACTCCGATATTTACGAACTTTAACATGGATTTCTTAGCAAGAAGAAGGGTTACTACAAGATGTCACTTTTTGGTGAAATGGTAAAAGTTCGGGGTTCCAAAGTGCTTGTTGAGGCAGAGATACTTTGTACGATAATAGTGCCGAAAGTTAGGTCTGTGCCTAGCACCTCACATAGGCAGAATGAATGGTCATTACAAAAGAATTCTCTAGGAGATATCATGTTCCAGAGTATTGTCATTTCTATTGGGTTTGCTTTTTTGTTCTGTTTTCCATTCTTTCCTGTCATGTTTTTTAAAGGTCTTTTCTTCCCTTCTAATATTCCTTTTTTTCCCCAGCAATTTTTTTTACCTTCGTAGTACACCCAAAAAAGAGACTGTCTTTTGGTTTACTGTACTACATTCTTGCTTTGCGAAGTACTTGCTTAATTATTACTCTGTGATTGTCTCTTGCTGTCATAAATTAGTTAACTGGTTATTTTTATGTTATATCAGTTAAGCTCTAGGATAGTATCTTCAACCTCTCCCATTGGGCCTGGAAGTAATGGGAAAGCACCCACAAGAAAGCCTTATTTTGGCCAGAAGAAACCACTTGAAGCACTTGGTTCTTCGCCACCTCTGTCAAGGTGATATAACCTATTCTCTAGCACAGCAGCAGGATGATTTTAAAAAAATTGGTCCAACTATGCACCTCCTAAATATTAACACTAATGGATTAACCTACAGCAAGAAGCAGAAAGTATCTGGACCATTGTCGGATCAAAGCATTGAACAACTCAATGACGTCACTGCTGTCAGTGGAGTTAATCTCAGGGTATGCAATTTGCTGTCATTAATAGTATCTGGCTGGAAGTTTACCTGCTAGTTAATTAAGTAATGCACAGTCAGGAGCTCATGATGATTCTGTTTTTTTTTTTTTTTTTTTTTTCGGTACAAAAATAGGAAGAGGAAGAACAACTTTTTTCTGGTTCCAAGGAGGACAGTCGAGTTTCAGAAGCGTCTAGAAGAGCTGTGCAAGAAGAAGAAGATAGGCTGATTTTGCAGAAGCTGCCCCTTCAGAAAAAATTGGCAGAAATCAGTTAAAGCCCATTCTTGTCATTAGAGTTTTTAAATCCTGTGATATATGCATTTTGTTGTGGGACATAAAAGCATTTTAATAACACATACTGGCATAGCTTGACAATTGGGTTGTACCTGTGGCAGTGGCGAGATGCGATGTAAAGAGTATAAGCAATGACGTGGAGCGATGCTTGTCACTGGTGAGATTGTTGTTACTATATTTTTTCAACTATGATATGTTTATGCTTCTCTTATGCAACTAAATGGTCAGTGCGTGGAGGAAAGACTGCATGGGCTGATAAGTAATTTGATTAGGCTGTCAAAACAGGTTAGTCTTCCTCATTTTCATTAATTTTCCTGCAAGAAAAGGATTTGATCAAAGAAAAAATATATATGAAAGTTAGGTGACTCGATTTTTAGATTAAATTATATGAATTTTTGTAGCGGGTTGATATTGAGAAGGCAAGGCACCGGATTCTTATCACCTCCGATGTTCGGCAACAAATTATTAGCATGAACCAGAAAGCTAGAGAAGAATGGGAGAAAAAACAGGCGGAAGCTGAAAAACTCCAGAAACTTGATGAAGTGAGCATCTCTTGCATTCACTTAGTATTCAACATTAATGCCTGTCTTTTTGGGCATTGTATTATTGGAGTTTCTTCTATATATTTTATGCTTGTGAATGCAGCCTGAAGGTAATCCTGGAGTTGATGGCGATAAGGAGAAAGACGAAGGTCGTGTGAAATCACTTAAGGTATCGCTGATGATTGATTTCAAACCATTGTATATTCACCACTCAGCTGATAAATGAAATTTGTATATTTAACTTTTCCTAATATACAGGCAAACAAAGAGGATGACGAAAAAATGCGAACAACAGCAGCAAATGTTGCTGCCCGAGCTGCTGTAGGCGGAGATGACATGCTATCAAAGTGGCAACTAATGGCTGAGCAGGCCAGGCAAAAACGTGAAGGAGTTGATGTACCATCTGGTTCTCAACCGGGTAAAGATGTGAGCCACAATCCTTCGTCAGCCTTTGGAAGAAATGCAAATCAAGAGGCAGAAAAAAGGGGCCAGTCAGCTGCCTTTGCCACATCTGGTGAGTTTGATCTAAATTGATCTTATTTAAATGTTGCATTTGGTCACTATTGGCATAAATCATGAAGCAGGACTGTTGGTTGAAGGAGTTTGAATGCTTCTCTTGGCCTTTAGCACCAGTGCTTAATTCACCTTACTGGATCCTATAAAATATTTTCTTTTAGTTTTTTAGGATAAGTGAACTTAAGTAACATGTATGTGGAAATATATCAGAGGAGAAAAGGAGCAAGTGTATGTTAAAAAAAAAAAAAAAGAATGGAATAAATACAAACGTATTACTTATGTGCATTTTCTAATAATCTATTTTATAGGATAGTCATTATTCCAACTATCTTACACGGGCAAAGTGATGGCTTTAAAAAGGAAACAAAAACACCACATTCGTTAGAATTAAAATGAGAATGTTTAGATGGATGGTAGGAATGACCAAGGAGATAGGGTTACTAATCAAAATGTGAGGAGAAACTAAGAAGAGTCGTCGTCGTCGTCATCACCATCACCATCATCATCCTTGCCTTTGTCCCATATGAATGTAGTTGGTCCCATGAATTCTCTTTTTTCATTCTTTCCTATCATATACCGTGTCTCTTGATCTCCTCCAATATTTATTTTTTAAAAACTATATTTAATTATTTCATCCCATTTAAGTTTTGGCTGGCTTCTTAGTGATGCCTATTAAAAAAAAAGAGAGTAGACTTCGGTGGTATGTATGTATACAATGTGGACTTATAGATTCACCCATAAGAAGATGAAAACTAGTTTGCACAGAACGTAAGAGGTAGAGAGGTCGATCAAAACTAACAAGGGATGAAGTTACTAGAAATGGTTTTAAAATTTTAAATATAAAATAGGTGAGAATGACTTGTAATATAGAAGAATGAAAAAAGAATTCCATTCCCCCCATGTCTCAAGACGCAGCAAGGCCAACTTTATTCATGAGGGATTACAGCTAGGATAGTAATGATGATGATTCTTGTTCTAAAACTTTTCTGTGTGCCTCAAGACTTTGTATCATTTCAGTTTTCCATGAACAAGTTAAACTTGTACAAGCTTCATTGTTATTTCCCTTCTGGATCTTTTTTGGGATAAAGGACCTATTATCTTTGATTTCTCAGAACCTCTGGCCCTTGGTTGACTGGTTATAACATATTTAGCTACCCTTAGCTAGTCTAAACAAGGCTTTTGAGTTGCCATCTGTCTTTCAGCTCAAAGATTGATTCTTGTCTGATGATAAATTCTCTAGATGTCCGGAACGTGTCTCCTTTTCTTAATGATGCCGATGTGCTTGGTCCATATAGAGCCCATTACCCCATGTTGATCCCCCTCCTGCAGGAAATTATAATTACCTCTCTCCTTGAGCAAAATTACGAAGACCTCCCTTGTGTATCAACATATTACAATTACCTTTCCTGTCAAATGTCATTGAAAGGTGTTAATGGAAGTTGCAGCTTTACTAATTTATCCTCATATTCTAAAAATAGTTTATTATTGTCATTATACAACATTTAAGAGCAAAAAGATATTATAAACATTTATTTTGATGACATGAACAACTTTTAATGTTGACCAGTTGACTATTAAAAGAATGTGTTGGCCAACCACTATAAACCTAAACTGTAACGAGTGTAGTTTTTGAATAGATAGATCATTGGGGAGGTTCTATAATTTTGTCTAACTAAAGAAAGGAAAGGGGTGCCTTTTTAAATTGTTTGTGCATCATCTACATTTACGGATGTTCATGGCTAATTTTGTATATCAAATAAATCAAGCTTGGACTCTATTGCGGTTAATTTCCTTGATATGATCCTTACTAGGCATTGTGCGGTTAATTTCATGAGCTCTGATTTTACCCACGTTTTCTTTCCACAGGTTCGAGTAGAAAATTTGGAAGGAATCAAGTTTCAGTGCCTCAACCAGTGGTGGTCCGCAAGATCTCCATTAAGGATGTGATTGCTGTCCTTGAAAGGGAGCCTCAGATGTCAAAGTCTACACTGATATATCAGTTGCATGAAAAAATGCGTGCAGATGCTGTAGCTGAATAAGCTCAAGTGTGTTGCAACGCTCCCAAGCAAGTCGTGCTGTTCTTTCATCACTGATGGCGCCATTACTTGAAATTATTCCGTCCTTATTCACTTGTTGTAACTTGTCTGCAGTTAGTTTTATAAAAAGTATCAGTGGGAAGATGTTTAAGCTTGTAAATTGTATATTTTTTTTTCCTTGGTAAGTTCAGATTGGTTCTCCAATCCATATGCGTCGTTATCTTTGGTGGTTTATATTTCATTAGTTTTTGGTAGTTCTGTTTTTTTTAAATTTAAGTGTACCAATTTATCTCCAATAAATTTTTTTTGTTGCAGTTCTTAATATGTTTTTTCAGAAGTTGAGTTAGAAAGTTGTAAAAAAATCTTAATAATTGTTAAGTTGATTTTCTTAGTGAGTAATTGGACTGCTGACCTTGCAAGTCACATATGTTATTTATTGCTTTTTTCCTATGTAGAATGATCTGTAAATGTTTCTTTGTGCGTGTTGTTCCCTTGCTTGCAGTGATGTTATTAAAAATTGCTGGTAGAAGTTGGAATGAATATCTGGTGGTTTGGCCGTTGATCAAAATATGTTACCTGCCTCCTAGCTCTGCAAATTTGCAGCTCAGATGAGTTAAGATTAGGTTTAAAAAGAAGGATGTTTGTTTTTTTTTCGGCATTCAATTTACTTGTTAGAAATTACATTGTTTAGGCCAGACTATGCCAATGGAGAGAAATTATTGTATGGTTCTGGAATTGACAAAAATAAATAAATAAAACTAACAATTAAAGCATTTACCAGAGAAACTATTGTATGGTAGAGGATCCGAGGGGATTATTATGAATTTTGGGACCATTGCATTTGCTTGTGCGTCAGCTAGTGAATCTAGGATCCGAATCGTAATACTTATGACAAGGAGAAAGGACTCATGGATTGTAATCCAATTTTGCAACACGAGGGAATTGCAGTCAATAATATTCAATGATTTTTACATAAATGAGATTGTATTAGCTTAGTAACGACATCTTCAAAAAAGCCTTACCTAGCGTGGATGATAAAACATCATATTTTCTCATTTTCGTCGGAGGAGAGACCGGAAAGAAATAGCATTTGAAAAAAGCCATGTCCGTTAAACTGCGTTTAGCATTATTTTACGCACTAACCATTCTCAAACTAGTAAGTCCAATTATTCAAGGCAGTGAGTCCTTAGATAGCAAAGTACATTAGAGAACTAAAACTATGCCTTAAATTAATTCATATCCCATTTACCAGGACAAAATGGTGGAAACACACATGAGAATCAGAAAAAGGCAAAGGCAGACGAGTGCAAGCAATCAGATTCTATTTTCACCAAAAGGTTATCAAGCATCAAATATGGTAGCCCTTCCATGTAATCATACAAACAACCAAACATTCAAGTCGAATTTGGAAGAAAGTACTAGCAAAGCGGTGATATTATATAAACATATTCCACAATGACAGATAACAACCAAAGTTTCAAACTTGAAACGCATTGACGGATAACAGACGAAGTTGAAACCCATTCCTGCAAGTTCCTTCCCAATTTCATATCATTTCTTCAGATGAGGAAAACATGCACCCACATCAGCTTTCGGGTGTTTAGCTTCCGCGTGCTCCCTGCACTTCACCTCTGAAGTGGTGCAAATGAACGTCTGCATGCACACCTTGCACTGCATTCAACCATCACCATGCATCAGATCATAAACTGTAATATTGCTAAAGGTCCAAAGGTATAGGCACAGATTCTTTAACTTCAGATATGGTAATTACTTTCCGGACTTCCAATAATTCACTCCTACATTCTCTCAATTAACCAGATCTCCAACCAGATGGAGCATAAATGCATGGTACTTGCTGCTTTTGTCTTATATTTTTTTATGTTAAATATCACCTTTTTTTTTTCTTTTTCTTTTTTTTTTTTCTTATTGGTACTCACACACACTTGTCTCTTCTGAGACTTAAACCCCTAACCTCCCTTTAGGAAGTAAGAGACCGATACCGTTAGGTCACTGGCCCATTGGTAAATATCACATTCCTATGGAGCATCGGAAAAAGTAGTGCTGCTGAATCTCTGCTCCTTCCATGCTTCTGCTCCTAGGGTGAAGCTCATGGAATTTGGTCATGAAGGCTAACACAGAAAAGTCATGCTCACAAATCCATCTGGTCTACTACTTCGTCCTAGAGATGCAGTTTACAAAATCTTACTGTCTCCTCACCTCGACAAATATATGAATGTCAAACACCTTCACATTATGTGAACATTGTTTTGTCCTTTTAAGGAAGCTCTCAGCTTATAAAGTATTACTACACTGGATGATATCATCTTCTCAAGTTCAACTTTCCTTCTACAAAGTATGCTGCAAGTGTAAGCACGAGAGAGAGAGAGAGAGAGAGAGAGAGAGAGAGAGAGAGAGAGAGAGAGAGAGTGTGCATTCCTTAAATGACCTGTTAAACTAGATTAACAGTTAGCTCTTATGTCAACTTTTAATGGAACCTTAGCTAGGAAAGTGTGCACAGTTTATAAAGTAGCTTGTATTAGATCCTTGAACAACATTATATACCATCAAAAAGTCAATGCAAAACGAAGAAATTATACACATAATGGAGAAAATATCTTCCGAAATGACACCGAATATAAACCATAGATAACTGGAGCAGGATACAACTATCATAATCATCTAACTTCTTAAAACAAAGTCCATAAATATTTTCTACTACCGAAGACTCACCATGCAAATGCTACAATGACCAATAAATTGAAAAATTGAAGTACTGAAATTCATTCATAGTCACATGTTTCTTAGCAATTTGTAGCATGTAAAGGGAAAAAGGAACATTCCGCTTTTCTAAGCAATATTTTGTGTATGGACTAAAAATGACAGAAATTTTACATTCAAGAATCCTTTACCATCAGCGATGCACCGGATTCTGGTAGTTGTATCCTTGCGCCAATTATCTATGATTTATTTTTGGGGTCATTTAGAAGATTTTTTCTCCACTATTGTATAATTTATTCGTTCTGCATTAACTTCACTGGTGGTAACAGATTCTTGAATGTAAATTTTCCTTATTGGTTTTCAGTCCAAGCACAACATATTGCTTAGAAATTTACGATGTTCCCTTCATCCTTTACATGCAACGAATTTCTAATAAACATGCAATTATGAATGAATTTTAATACCTCAAATTTCAATTTATTGGTCATTATGGCAGTTGCGTTGCGAGTCTTCAGTAGTAAAATCATTTATGGACTTTGCTTTAAGATGTTGGTTGATTATGGTAGATGTATCCTTGCGAGTTGCGCCAATTATTTGTTATTTATTTTTGTTGTCATTTAAAAGATAATTTATGGACTTTGTTTTAAGAAGTTAGATGCATGTAATGGAAGAAGGGAACATTGTACATTTCTAAGCAATATGTTGTGTTTGGACCGAAAATGACAAAAAAACTTTACACTCTCCGTTAGAAGTTAAAATTAAGATAACAAGGAGAGAATAAGATGGAGGGGGGAAAATATCATTAGTTTCAAACCAATCATAATTTGAGATAATTCTTCTGAACCGTTAAATTTTCACTAAAAACATATGTTGTGTCGAGACTGAAAAAGACAAAGGAAACTTTGCACTCAAGAATCCGTTAGGAAGATAAATTAAGAGAGACGAAAATGACGGAGGGAAAAAAAAGCATTAGTTTCAGACCAAACATGATTTGAGATTATTCTCGTCTTAAATTTTCACCAAAAATGAAGGCAATGGACATCAAAGAATCATATCCATGAGTGAAAACCTCATTGCGAACGATGACGATGACAGCATTCATCATGATTCAATTGAAATTGTGATTCATCCAAAAAAAAATACCTCTTTAGAGATAGAAATAGCTCACCAAGGTAAGTCATTACACACAGATTCGTATCATAATCCAAATATTATATATATCCATATTGATTTCTAAGCTGAAGGAGAGTAAGCTCAGTTTATGCAATTAATATTACAGATTACATCTACTAATCAATATATATATATATATATATATATATATATATATATACACACACAGATCACATCAAATAACTAATACATGCATTTACACACATAAATATAGGGTAGAAGTGAGAATTGCTACAAGGACACTAAGCTCAAATCCTGTAACTAATTGAATATATGCATTTATATACACGAAAAAAAAAAACACATGCACAGATACATACATACATACATACATATATATATATATATATATATATATATATATATATATATATATATATATAGGGTAAAAAAGAGATGATTTTGAGATTATCATACAAGGAAAAATAAAATAAAAAATCCCCCAATAGATATACCTGGATGGTCATGGCTTTCTTGTTGGAATCAAGCTGACTTCCTGCGAAGAGATAGACCGTAGATCAGGTCAAATACAATTGAAATTTGGTACTTTGATGAATTTTGAAGAAATAAAAAACCCTAAGATTGAGAGAATTATATATATATATTACCCTTGGCGCCTTTGTTCTTCTCCAGATTTCTCTCACGAGCCATCTTGGACTTCTGAGCGTTGCCTCCACCCATAGCTTCTCTGATCGCCAAAGATCTCTCTCTCTCAAACCCTAATTCAGCTTTCGCCTTCGCCTTCGCCTTCGCCTTCCTGCGTTTGGTAGGCCTTTGTCAGGACTACCATATATATATCTGTGTATTATACCACTTTTTGTTGTATATATATGTATATATATACATATAGATTCATACAAATACACGTATAATGTTTGTGTAGTGTGTGGTGAAGGGACAAGTGTGGTCCGACACGAAGGTTACGCGAAAGTTCTTCCATAGTGCGAGGCTGCGAGCCAACAATTGTGGCGAGAGGCAAATACTATACGAATTCCATACGACGTCGTTTACGTAGAAAATTACTAAATGAAATATAGCCCGTGTAGCTGGTAATGATTGAAAAAAAACTAGTAACTGACTTTCCTTGTGATCTGAATAAATTTATCGTTTAATGTTTATTATTTTAATTTTTTCTTTGTAATTGTTTTATTAAATTTTATAAAATGACAATTTTTTTTATATAAAATAAAATATAATATATTATTTAAATATAAGAATATTATTAACTTTTTACACTCAAAGTCAATTTTGAACCACGGACTAATGAGTTTAAGGGAGGTTAAAATAATAATTACTAAATACTTTACTAGTATTTAATTTTTCCAAACTTTTAAAAAGGTAAGTTTTACTCAAAAATTTAAGCATATTCAACAATCTTCAATATTTTACCTACCTCTGAAAAATAAGAACTCCTATATTTTTATTTAAATATATAAATTGTTAAATTTGAAAATATTTGAAATATAAAGATAGTAAATATATTTGTTTTCTATACTGAAAGAAAAGAAAAGAAATGAGAGGATAATATGAATTAATTAGTAGTTATTAAGTTTGGTTGATTAATAAAGAAAATTATAATAATTTTGTTTGGTGAGAGCAAACTATTTTAATAATTTATTACCATATCATTTTCTATGTATTTTGTCTTTTATAAAAAAAAATATATATATATATATATATATATGGACAAATTTGATACTAATAAAGTTTCATTAAAAATACTAGTCTTTTCTTTTATTTTCTACTCCCTCCGTCCCAGTTTAAGCGTCGTCATTGGGAACTGTGACTAAAGATAAGTTGGTTTTGTTATCTTTTTAAAAATGCTACTCCCTCCGTCCCAGTTTAAGCGTCGTCATTGGGAAATTTGATACTAATAAAGTTTCATTAAAAATACTAGTCTTTTCTTTTATTTTCTACTCCCTCCGTCCCAGTTTAAGCGTCGTCATTGGGAACTGTGACTAAAGATAAGTTGGTTTTGTTATCTTTTTAAAAATGCTACTCCCTCCGTCCCAGTTTAAGCGTCGTCATTGGGAACTGTGACTTCCCAATGACGACGCTTAAACTGGGACGGAGGGAGTAGCATTTTAAAAAAGATAACAAGTCCAACTTATCAAGCTTTCGTTATATTTATTTTCTTTCCATTTCTTTCCTACCAAACTGGGTCAAAGAGGAAACATTTACTTTTAAATATTCAAATATCCCAAAATGAAAAGAGATATACTTATTATCATATAGGTCCATAAGGCTGCATACAGTTCGGTTTGCACCGGTTTAAGAGTTTTTTGGAACCAAACCAATTCTAACGAATTCATAAAATTTGGAACCAAACTGAACCATTTGGCCAGAGGAATCAAACCAAATCGTGAAAAATCGATTTGGTTCGGTTCGGTTCCACGGTTTCTTTTTATTTTTTTTTTTCTTTATTGTTACAGAAGTATTCATATCATCCACATGCACAACAATAAATCAAGTTACCAATACATTCAGAACTATTAATATATTCAGAACTTTTAATTCATTATTCTCTATTACTTCTGGAACTGAAGTAAATAAATTCAGAATTGGTAATAACCTAATACATTTAAAATTACTAATTCAACAACAAACAATCAGCCACAATTCAATTCAGCCACTTAAAAAAAAAATTGATCTAATAAATTGATAATACCTAAAATAATTAAAAGTGGATCATATGATTGATAGTTGCTACAAACTTCTAAATGATATGGATTGTAGGATTATATATATTATATATACTCTATAATTTAACATATATATATATATATATAAAACACAATAGTTCGGTCTAGGTTTCACAAATTTAGAGCCGTGACCGAACCAAACCATTAGCAAACCAAACCAAACTGTCCGGTCCGATTTGGTCTGGTTTGGATTTTCGATTTGACCGAATTTTTGTGCACCCCTAATATAGGATGGAAGGAAGATTTTATTTTATTTTTTGGGTCTTTAACAGTTGGCGTAAAAAAAAAAAAAAAACAAACAAACAAACAAATTGTTGGTAAAGGAAGTGAAAAATCATTTTCTTGTGTTCACACTTCAAACAAACATATGTTGGAATATTAATTCTCTCCAACTCACTCAATGTTTAGCTATTTAGCTATTGTTGAGAGTTAAACTCCTCCTTTATCATATATAAGGCAAGCATCATCACATCACATCAATACAAGCATATATAGATGTAACGATCATACACATCAACAAATAACACAATAATTTACATGGTTCACCCAACTCTATAGTTATGTTCATGGAAAGAGAAATTTCACTATTATGTATTAAGAAAAATAATATATATAATGAGATGTCAAAACTCCACTCATTCTCACTTTTACACATGCTTTCCCATCTCCTTACAAAACACACTCTCATCCCTATCTTTTACCTCTACCTTTGTCTCTCACACCCACAACACATGCACTTTGCCAAATGATTGAAGACTTGAACTAGTTTCCAATTTTATAAATGAAGATAAATAGAGTATTCAAACCCAATTTCCTTGCCGAACTAAAATTTCACAATTTTCCTGGAGTTATCATATCAATCACAACTCTAAAATAGGAGAAAGAGTAATGATACTCTATCCGACCATTCTGGCAAATTATTAGTCCGACTCTTGTGTAGCAAAGCCATGTCACTCTACGTTATTTAATACTGCTCTCTTCGATTTTCTCTCTCCCTGATTATCTATCTCTTCCTCTGCATTTCTGGTTCTTCGATTTTTTCTTCTTTTGTTCAGTTTCGGTGCAAAATCAAAGGAAAAGCATAACATTAAAATTCCTTCACCTCAGATAGTTCGTTTATATCCTCCTTTTTTAATTGATATCTTCATCTCTCTCTCTCCTCTCTCTCTTTGATTCTAGCTCAATCTCTCTTGTTAAAACAGTAACCCTAGTCTTTGCCGCTACCGTTGATTCGACGAAGAAAAGCCTCCGCAGATGGCGGCACTCCACTGCCTCCTCTTCTGGCTTTTCTTACTTTTTATTCAATACTACTCTCTTTTCAACGTTATCTCCTCCGTTTCACTGAAGCGTAACAGAGTTGGTGATTATGTTTTTATCTTCACTATCTTTTCGAAATAAAATAAAGTAAAAGCACTATAATTTCCTTTCTCTCTCTCTTATCAAAACATGAAAAAATAAGTTAATACTCTTTTCTTTCTACTTATTTATATACATTGTAATAGAAACTGTTATGAAATAAGGATCGAGTAGGAGTTTATGAGAACAAGAGGAAAAATAAATGACAAGAAAATAAAATAGTGCAAACACAAACGAGACAAGAATTTACGTGGTTCGGCTGTGCCTACGTCCACGAGGAGAAGACAGATCAATATTTCACTATGAAAATAAAAAGATACAAGGCTAAGTGGCTCACACCCAAAAAACCCAATTACACCCAAGAATCTCACACACTTTGCTTTGCTTGATATTAAGCAAAACACGCTCAAATTTTGGATGCCTTAAACAAAGAGGAGTCAACACTATTCATAGCTAAAATGGGTTATCAATGAATGTTTGCTGAAGCTGCTTCAATTTGGAGCCCACGAATTCTTGGTGACCAAGAATAATGTTTGTTAAACACACATATTTAGAGGGCAAATTGAATGATGTCATGAGTGATGTTATGGTGTTGATGAGAAGGGTGATGAAATTGGGCCACAAAAGTTAACAAATCTTCACCTTGGCAAAAATTCAAATGAGCCACTGTATCTCTGCAAAACAAACTGTCTTCTCCACTAAGCCCCTAAGAGCAATTTCAACATTTGAGAATACCAACCAAGTCTAAACAATGCTTGAACTTGAGAGCCAGAATGGACTTTATCATCATATCCGCTGGATTTTCAATTGTGCCAATTTTCTTCAATGTAGTAATTCTTTCTGATATGACATCCAGAATAAAATGATATCTGACATCAATGTGTTTGGTTCTCTCGTGATACATTTGATTTTTGGTCAAATATATCGCACTCTGACTATCACAATAAATAACAGTTGAGCTCTGCTGCAAACCCAAAACCCTAACCAAACCTCTCAACCAAATGGCTTGCTTCCCTGCTTCAGTGGCCGCCATATATTCTTCTTCTGTAGTAGAGAGAGCAACTGTAAATTACAAAGTTGCTTTCCAACTAAATGCACAACCTAAAAGAGTAAAGACGTATCCTGTCAGAGATCTTCTTTTATCTAAATCACCAGCGTAGTCGGAGTCTACAAAACCAACAACACTACCAAAATCATCATTGCTCTTCTGATAAACTAAGCCAATATCAGCAATACCTTTCAAATACCGAATAATCCACTTCACGGCTAGCCAATGTTTTTTTCCTGGATTATCCATATATCTGCTAACTACACTGATTGCATGTGAAATATCAGGGCGAGTGCAAACCATTGCATACATCAAGCTACCAACTGCACTAGCATAAGGAACACGTGATATATGATTCTTTCCTCTTCGGACTGTGGCGATAAAGCTGCAGAAAGACAAAAATGAGCAGCAAGTGGTGTGCTCATAGGCTTAAAATTCTGCATGTTAAACCGCTCAAGCACTTTCTCAATATAACTCTTCTGTGACAAACTCAACCTGCCAGCTTAGCAATCCCTCTAAATTTCCATGCCCAAAATTTTCTTCGCTGCACCAAGATCTTTCATCTCAAATTATGTATTCAACTGAGATTTTAACTTGTTGATTGACATGTCTTTTGCAGCAATAAGCATGTCGTCAACATATAACAATAAGCATACAAAAGAACCATCTAAAAGCTTTCGATAGTAGACACA